CAAATTCTATTTAATTCAAATCTTGCGTTAATTTTGGGACACCCTTTACTTAATAACTTGACTACTTGAAGCACGTGAACAAATGTAATGTTGTAAACTTAAATTACTTGAAGCAATTACCAAAATTCATGAAATCAAGGAAGTGGAGAGGATAAACAAAGGAAACGTCGATACATTGTGGACTACAGTTTCGACATAGTTACGCAACCATAATTCTATAGGTGTACATGGGGTGGTGGTAGGTGGTGGAAGGCGTAGCGCAAGATTAATCCCATAGATGACACGTCCCACTTTAATTAAATTAGTAATATCGTGTGGTCTAAACATGCTCCCAGTTTCGAACTGGCAAATTCACTAACGCAATACATATTTGCGTGTATTCGGGGATGAAGGGTTGTGCCGTATGTCTCTTTCTCATTCATTCCCACTATCACACCCATACCTCTCTCTCTCTCGCACACTGTATCACACAGATACACCATTTCCCAATGCCGTTATTATGTAGTACACATAGATTTGGCGAACCGATATTATTTGTGTTTCGAATATTAACTCTGCTCGCGAGTTTACTCATTTTCCATAACGAACAGAAGGAAATTGAACACATTTACAGCAAAACGTACGTAAATGGACGCAGGCAGTAAAGCTCGCGCTTCATTATTCAATTCTTTCTCGATTTCTGTTTGGATTCACTGGTTTACGTAACGAATTCTCGTAGCATATGCTACATTTCTCACGTGTATCATGTGGATGGAAGTGAGCAAACCTCTCTCCGTTCCCTCTCCATTCCACTGCTCCAAATGGAAGGTAATAAAAACCCGGGATACTAATGCATCTACATACGTTTTCACAACAAAGATCACTGTCGGATTTCCCTGTTTGGTTTGTAACATTTTATATAGTAATTGAAAACTCAGTGAAGTTGAACCTTCATTAATCGATATTTAATAGAATATTACTGTCGTCTACCTAGAAACGTAAACACATTTCAATTTCATTATGCATACATAATTAATTAACTAGTGTTGATTTTTCAGTTCACAACCATTTTTCATACAAACTGAAAGATAAAAAATACGTAAAACACTTCGTTTCATTGTTCAAACTTACAATACTATAAAGTATTCGTCCTTTTCACAGTTAGTTGTCCAAAATTTTGCTCTTTTGTTGTTGTTGTTGTTGTTGTTGTTATTGTAATAAACACTGTTATTATTTAATTAATTAAACGTTTATTCAAAATTGAATATTCATTAAGTTTTTATACGTATTCACTTTACCAGAATGTATGCTACAGAGTTTCAATTTACAATGAATGTGAAATCCGCGCGAATCACAAAAGCTGCAAAATAATACTCATGTTCGCAAAAGGCAAATGTTTACGAAGCCTTCTCATTTTAATATTACTTTCAGACCGAAAACTGTAGCGAATCCGCTCATTTTATTTATTTAATTTGTTGTATTTTTGTTGTTGTTGTTGTTGCTAGCCTGCATTCATTTATTTATATTTTTCGTTCCTCTCCGCATATGAAACGTTTAATTCACTTTATAAAAGTTTTAATATTCCGGGCGAACGAAGCACGAGAGAAAAAGTGAGTTTCTTTTTTCTCTTTAACTTATTAATTTTTCCCCTTCGTGCATTTCTCGTTGCGAAACATCATTACGTTAATGTTTTTCCTTATATATCCAACCGAAATTCGCAATTTCCAAACATATATTACATTCTACGTATTCCATTATGGAATGCAATTATTTTCTAAAATTTTATAAAAATAAATTCTTTTAAACCAATTTTCTTTGAGAAAATTCTAAACATTCAAATACCAGTACAGTATAAAGGCTACTTTACTGACAACAAAGTATCTTTTCTTACGTTAAACGTCTTCGAATTGAGGCTATTTTTTGTTGCATTTGAACTACTTACATCAAAAAATATCATGAACAACACATGCATTCCAGATGCAACAAACTTGACTTTAAACACATACATATTTTCTGTTCAATTTGATCGAGTATTGTTTCGTGTCAGTGAACTTGTGACATACGACAATACCTCGCACAGTGCGGTCCCGCACTCTTTGAAACTGGAATAATCGAAGAATTAAAGCCATACGAAAAAGAGGGAAATGATGATTTTCACTAATTTCAATTCGCACTGATCCGCACTAAGCTGTAATATTGCATATTGTTGATAAGATAAGTTCATCGAGTTTCAGATAAATTAGAATGTGAAATAATAAAACACAACAAGTAAAGTTTGCGCGATTAAAAAAAACGATGCAATAACGACAAGTGATTCAAATATCATCGTTTACAATAAAGATACGAGTATTACAAACTCTTCTGGCTTTGTGTGCATCATCAAAAAGGAAATTTATAGTTTATTTTTTGAAAAAAAAAATGTAATGAAACACAAGTTAACTCGGTTACGAGAATGCAAAGGCCGCTTCGGAATTACATCCTGTGCACAGAAATTATGCGAAAATTTAATTTGTCGCCCGTAGGAAAGGGGAGAGATAAAGTCCTCTGTTTTAATTTCTATTTCGTACTTTGTTTTCCACCACAATTTATTTTAAAAATCAACATTTTCTTTTTTGCTTTATAATTTCCATGAACTAAATCCACGTTGAAATTAGTTAAAAACTTTTCAATTTGTGAAAATATTTAGTTTACTTGCACATACAGTTAACTTAATGAATTTGGGGGAAAAGAGGTTCAATTTGTATGCAAATAGGTTCGGTAAGTGGGCACAAATTACTTCGGAATTAAAGATATCTATATAAATTACTTTGAATTAAAGAGGGGACGGTTTCCCAAACTACATTATCATTTGTAATGTCTTTTAAATAATTAAGCCTCCCCCCCAAAATGCGAATAAAACTCTAATGTCTTACATTTGGCCCCCTTTGGCGACGCTTATATCATTTACTAATGATCACTCGATTTAGCATTTGAATTTTAAATAGACTTTAGAAAATGTTTGCATCTGGAGCAGATGTTACGTTTTTGTACTTAATTCAAGAAATTTACATCGTTAACTTAAATAGATTCTTACAATTATAATATATTCTTCATTAACTAATCGTATTGTGTGCAATTGTAACTTGTAGAATATTAAAATATGTTACAAACTTTCGTAGAAGAATTCACCAAGTTTATTTCTAAGTTAACTTAATACTAAAATACAAATAATTAGTTGAAATTCACTAATTAATAATAACCAAATAATCAAAAGAACACTATATTTAAACGCATTGTTTAAATTAGACTAATTTTTATTCAATTGAAATGTGAAAAGTGCTTAAATTTCCTTCATTTTCTAAGTGAATTAAACGTAAATTTATGCAATCAACAAACGTTTTTCTGAAGCAATAAATAAGCGTTCTTTAATTAACGTGATTATCTCAACTGCAGATCAACAATATACATATGCAAATTGTCAATTTTATTCACCCAACAATTTTTGTTACTTTTTTTACAATTTTTCTTTTTTCCCTATAAATTTAGGAAATTACGCTTGGTTTCCTGAAGCGAATAAACATATTAATACGTTATTTTTAATATAATTCCCTTATAGTACGGTTTTGAAAATTTCAAAATTTTAATTGAAAAAATACATTTTTTTTGTGTTCTTTATTTCTTATGCAGTTTTAAATGTTCTCGATTAGTGATATCAAAGTGTGCAATTCAGTTTCAATTGTTTCGGAATCGAGAAATACATGAAATATTCTAACGTTTTCAAGAAATTTACATTGTTTTTTTCTTAAATAGATTCTTACAAATTTCTCAAATATTAATATGCGAAATTTTAGTCTATTTCTACGATAAATTCATTTCAAATACAAATACTAAAATTAACAATTAGTTGGAATTTAGCTACGAATAATGAAGAGATTTAAGGAAATTGATTATATAAGATACAGATTACAATTTCCAAGTGGTTCAAAAATATTTACTTTCGTAAATTGTCAATTTTATTCCTCATCAATATTTCTTTGTTTCTTTTTGTTAAATCTGTTAAGATAATTAGAAATTGCGATGGGTTTTCTAAAGCGGCTTCAATTAGTACGGTTTTTTTTTGATACAAAACAATCAAATTTTTACTTGACAAAAATTCAAATTATTATTATTTTTAACACATAAATGTTCAGGTTTTTGTTTGCGTTTATACAGTCAAGAGCTCTTTATTATTTATGAGGTTTTCGTGTACTCGATCAGTGCGGTTTCAAACAGTGCTATTACAAGCACTATGCGAGGTATTGGTAAGTGTGCAATTCAGTTTCAATGACATCGACAAATACATCAGATAATTTTTTGCTTCAAGAGATATAATAAAAATGGAAATAACTCTTATATGTGTTTTTCTCATAGAAACGCAAATTTTGTGGGAATCAAGAGAGCGCGTTCTGCCCCCAATTCCGAACAAAACCCTAGAGGAGAAGAACAACCCCCTCCTCTTAGAACTTTAGGCACTCGCTTAGAAGCAAAGAAAATAAATGTAATTTTTGGTAGGATCTCCCTTTTGTGTACAGACACACAGCCGTATCCTCGGTTTTCCTCTATTTTTTTTTATTTTTCTTGCATTCTTCTTCGGGAGCAAACTCGAGAGGAGGAATCAAGTTGTTTGTTTGCCGAGAGCGGCTGAAATATTGAATGAGGGTTTCACTCGTCTTCTTCATCCTCCCCCCACTTGCGCTTACATTTCACACATGAAATCCTCAAAACAAACGTCACACCGCAACCTAGGATCAAAAGTCGACAACTTCCAGACTGTCATTACAAAATGGTAATTGTGGTAAGACGAGAAACGCGCAAAGTAATTAATTGGAAGCGGAAGAAAAAGAGAGAAAAAAGCTAAGCGGAAAAGGTAATTTAACAGTGGCTTATAACACGCACGTTGTACAGTTTTTGTTTTGTTTTCCTTTCGCTGTTGTTTTTTTTGTGTTTGTTTGGTTGCGGGTGAATTAATGAAAAACAAGCGGTAAACAGTAAATGACACTTACCTAATTGGACGTACATCTTCGGTCTGACGTTCTCCTGCCATGCAGCTAAACACGCGGAAAACGCGCAGCAAGCTGCGACCACGAAAAGCACCCTCCGCATGATGTTTCGTCTTCAGAATAGTTCCCAAAAATAGGAGTAAAGTTGGTGGTGGTGGTAAAGTTGGTTGGTTGGTAATCAAAAAATAAATGAATAGAGACGGGGAACGAAAACAAAAAAAAACTCTTTCTCTCTCTCTCAATCTCAGAGGATCACTGGATCATAATATCCTTGGAGCACAGCACACAAAAGCATCACGCCAACACTGAACACATAACACAGTCGTTTTTTATTTTATTTTTTTTGAATGGGAGGTTGCGAACACGAATTGGAAGATGACGCAAAGGGATGATATGGTGTTTTATAATATTTGAGGATATGCGGATCAATCGCGCGACGATGATACCCCAATGCGGACGACGCTCGATGTTGACTGGCGTCGGTGCGCGTCGCGACGCCTGTGCCAGCTGACTTCCCCCACCGCAACGGATCGACCCTAGCGCCGGCAACCTGCAACGGAGACAGAAAAAAGGTTGAAGTTTTTCTTCTTTTTTTTTTGTTCAGTTTGCTAGAAACAAATGCAATGGACCGTAAAGAATCAATTTATGTATTTATCCAATATCCCACGAAATCATAAGACTTAACCGACAAGACAAACATCTCTAAGAAAAAAAACTAATAACATATATCGATTATTATCGACACCCACTCAATAAAGCGTACAAACATCGGTTTAGTGAAGAAATTAAGTCGACGAAATGGAATCGATTCGCACGGATTGGTGATGGATTCACCCTCCCGTCCTTTCTTCCACGAATCGACAAAACAAGTAAGAAGGCTCTGGCAGCGGGAGGATTAAAATCAATCGTCTCGTTTAGGTAATTGCCACTTTTTTTTTTGCTCCGAATAAATTAGACCACTTCAATTCACTTTCTCCAATAAATAACTTGAATGATCCGAATCATCCGTAATAAGTACTATTTACGTACCTTCACCCTTTATATATACACTCTTTTCTTATTATTTATCTGAGAAAATGAATGCTTTCAGCAAATGAAAAGACGACTTTTTCAGTCAATTAATTAACGTAAAAGTATGAAATCCACATGCATAATTCACATACAAAATATACTTAATATTAACGTAATTACAGCACTTTTCAATAGATAAGCAATAATTAATTGTAATTAACAAACCTGGCGATGATACAAAGATCATTAGCATTTTAAATTAGTTCGTAAACAATGAAATAAACATAATTTATTTTGCTCCTACATAAATTCAAAAGTCTGCGTCCAATTTCCACTCAAAATGAATTATTTAGCTAATTATGCTCTTATTAACAATTACAAACACATTAATAGGTTAATTTACAATATACATGATAATAAAAACAAATTGCATTTTTTTAAATTATTATTAAAAAAATCATGATTAGTCCTCAATCATACACATTCTACTATACCAGGGTTTCCCAAACTATGTTATATATTTAATAGGTACTCCGTAAAATCTACATCTTCTTTGTTTCAACAAATTCTTTGATCATGTATTCTTTTGTTAATAATTTAAAATTTTCTTAAAAAAAAAAGATTTAAACTTAATGAACTTAATAGAAATAGGTTAAACTCGAATAATGGAAATAATAAGTGTTTAGTTTTATAGTTTAACAGACAATGCACATTCAATTTAGATATATTTAAATTTGGCGCCATTTTTTCTTGTGTATAAGATTTGTGCCATCTTGTGATTAATTAATCGGAACGATGCACGAAAAAACAACGCGTTATTATTACTAAAAAGTCATTTTCTCAATGAGTGATGTTTTGTAAACTTCGTGCAATTTCCAGTCATCAATTCGAAGATTAATTTAGCAAAAAAAATAATGAGGAAACTGGTTCATAACAAGAATCAAACGTTTTAAGAATTAAAAAAAAAATGGACTGCAAAATCCAATTGATCCAGAAACTAAAACGCAACATTTCTAAATTAGAACGAACTTTTCTAACAAATAATTCATTCAATTCAGAAACTAGTAGATTTAGGTTTATTGAAATATAATTATTTTATATTATTATTGCTATAAAGTCATACATTCTTGAAGTGAAATGTTTAAAAATAACATATAGTAAATTTACCTATATTTTTCTGTTTTAATTGAGAATATTTCCATTGTAAATTTTCCTACATTTGTATAAAAAATAACAAAATTGCTTTTACAAAACATATATGAATGATATGTCAGATATAATATGTTATTGTTGTTTTTTTGTTTTATTTTTCATATATATATATTTGAGGACATTTCATGGCCTGACAATAATTTGATTGATTGATAGTCCATTGTTTATGTGCAACTAGATCGATCGATCGATGCATGCATGCATATGCAAACAAATGCAAGAGAAAAAAATGTACAATTTTCCATAAATATGATTACGTATAAAACGTGTGTGTGTATACATATTTGATTAGCGCTGAAAACGTATGAAATTCATTTCGAATTCGCAAAATATTTTGGGACGATTGTGCGTGCGTTCACAATTAATCATCGAAATTAATATACGTAATGATCGTAATGTGCGAGTGCCTTCCCTTCCCCCCAAATTAATATTTAAATCATATTATTTCCACTGTTGTGGAGCTCGCCGACCTTTTCAGTCAAAATAAATATACGCATTTGTAATGCGGACAAATACGAACTATTCACGAATATTCGAATTGATGTTGGATTCCAACGAAAATTTATTTCGAAAATCAATCTATTATTTAATTAATTATTTTAGTTCTAATTACATACTGATAATCTTTCTTTTCCTTATTGTTAATGTCTGCACTATAACTAATAGCATCAGTTCTATATAAGTATACAAGCTACGAGAGTAGAATTTGTAGTCTGTTGTCTCGTTTTTCACAATCAACGTGTTAATATTTGCTTTAAAGTTATCTATTTTATTAAGTTGATTCTAGTAGACATCATAATTGCGACAAACATTATAATTATATTGTTTATTTAATCTACTACTCAATAATTAAGACTCATTATTATCTACTATTTGTATAAGTAAATAATATATAGCAATGCCTCGCATAATGCGGCTTCGTTCAGTGCGGATTCACTATAGTACGGTTTGAAAATGACAAAACAAACTAAATTTTAATTGAGCTAAAATTGGAATTTACAAGATAAGGATTTTTCCAGAAAATAATTGAATACTTTCTAATACTCTTTCAAATCAAGTATCCTTAGGTATCTTCTATGTATGTAATTAAATAATTGATAAATCTATTTTCAATATTCCGAAACAGCGTTTCTCAACCTTTCTTTTTATCCCACGACCCAACATATTTGTTTGTAATTGTACTGCAACCCAACTGTTTGTAATATACACATTTTTTATGACGTTTGAACGTAAAGTGACAGATGTCATTTTGCGACCTAATAGTTTATATCATTTGAACATCGACATCATTTGAGTAAACTGAAAACTGTCATTTTGTTTGTATTTGCACGGCGATCCAATTGTTCATAACCTAAAACTGTTGACGTTTTGATTCAAAATGACAGCTGTCATTTCAGGACCCAACATATTTGTTTATAGAGTTGTTTACAACATAAACTTTATTGACGTTTTGACTCAACTGACAGCTGTCATTTTCTTTTATTGAATCATTAAATGTTTCAATTTGATGTAGATTCATAACGCCCATCGTCCGGTGCGGTCTGCGAAATAGACTTGAATCACGAAATTATCCAAATTGACCGAACGTAATCGATCGCGGCAAAATGGCATCGGCCGTCCGTTTCAGTAGCCCTCGCGTCGTTATCAGGAGAGGAGAGAAAAGTCCGTTATCAGCAGATTTCTGATCGAAAAGCCGCCCACATCGATCATCCGGAACTCCGTTTCTTTTCGCCACTTTCAGAGAACGGGAGTCAAACGGAACGGACTAGGAATCAATTAGGATGCGATAACATCGTAAAACTTTTATATACAATATATATATATATATCAGCAATTTCTCTTCCTTTGAAGAACTTTCTACATTCCATTGACAATTATAGGAGAAACACAACGACCTACGCTCAAATATCGACGTTGGCGTGGGCGATGATAAATCCGAATCCTTTTGGCTTCGAGCCTTCTCCGTCTCTGACTCTGTTTGTGTGTGTGTGCAGTTTGCGCTTCCTGTCGCGATTTAATCTTCCGCTGCGCTCTTAATGATTTCCTGCTCTTAATTAAACCGAGCGTATATCAATGAAATGTTTAATACCTTTTATCCCCGGCGCAAAATCTGTGAAACTTTCAACTCCCACCTTTAATAAATAAAGCGCAACGTGTACTTCCACTTAGTAGTAGAATAAATTGCAGAGGTCAAGTTTAACGCAAAAAAAAATACGTTTATTATTGTCACCAGAAATTGACTTTCCAATTTACGTTAAGCATTTTCGAGTTTATTTTCATAGACTTTCATTTTCATAAATCGCGCCCTTGCGTGTGGTAACAGCCAACATTTACATTGGCACACAAAGGCACTAAATAACCGCGTCGCAACGTTTTTCCATTCATAAAAGCCACTTCAAATTTATCATGACTTATTTTCAGAACACATTTACTATATTTATTTTGATATTTTTAAACCGTACTATACTTGAATCCGCACTATGCGAGATATTAATTTATTTATTATAATGTACCGTTTCGCTGTAACAATTCCAAGTGCGAATGTGTGAATATTAAAGTTTTTGAGCAGGATTTGATCCAAATACATGTAAAATCTACGACACATAGTTGAACATAAAAAAATGGGTGCGCTTTTAATATGTGCAAATATTTGAGGATTCGTTCAACTAGACAGAATATTTTTTTATGTAAAAAATGTGAAAGCTTTATCTAATTTTTAAGTGGACATTCCGCTGTGAAGAGAACAGGAAAAAAATGGGTTAATCTACGGAAAGAAATCTCGAGTAAGCTCCGTTTTCCATGTAAAGTGAAATATATGTATGCATATAATGTAATCTGAAGGAGTAGAGTAGGGAACGAGATCGATAACTTAAAATTTTATTTTCGTAAATCTGGATCAAGAGCTCGATGCAAAAGTAGGGCAGAAAACCTTGGGGGGAAACCAAACGATAGTGGTCCGATATCAAGTTATTATTTTCTTCATAAAACACACACACACATATATATAAACCCTCCTTCACCCCCGAGGCGCAATTTATAAGAAATCGCGTACGAAAACTTTATTTACATCCTATGCTAATTCCGCTTTAACATATAATGAAAATTTGTCGCAGCGCTGCGGGAATACTGGTGAGAAAAGAGGGTCGCTGCATCCGAATGAGGAGGCACATTTATACACTTATAGCGAGAGACGTCGAAGGAATATTATTATACGTCTCTTCTGGGCAATTCTTTTTTTTTTCTTTCTTCTTTCATTTCCAACACTTCCTGCAGGGATATGATGTGCGTAGGTGCAGAATATAATTAGTGTTTTAGTTTAACCGAGGA